TATATATATTCGGAACTACTTTAACGTATGTACAACAAATTCTTTACACTATAGAGATCATAGGGATATCATAAACACTATATGGTTCACTTCTTATCAAAAGTCAACTTAAGCCTATTCAGTTACTTTAAAATTTCAGTTGACAAGCCAAACTACCTTTCCCTATTTCTATCACACTAGTATTCTGTGTATAATTCACTTACAGTTGTGGCACGAGTTACTGCAGTCGTATACTGCTCTTCCAGTAATTGTTTAGTCTTCTTCCTTCAAAATATCCTCTGTTCCTTTTGTCAAAGTGCACTCAGGCTGATTCAATTGCTTTAGAACCAAGCTTTGTTAGAAAAAATTATTATTCTTATCTTTTTTTCTACTGTTAGTTTTACTCTAACATATTAAACATTAGGCCTATCACTTCTACAGCAGTTAACTTCACATCAAACTTTTCCCTGGCTGTGACTTTTTTCTGCTATTGACTGTCTGCTGCTTCCGCTCATCTCACACAATTTATATGTTTATCACTTAATCGTCTGCCTGCCTTCCAGAAATCTCTATTATTGACGTCAGTGAATTGTAAACGACAATATGATAGTCTCAACACCAATGGATTATAAACACAACTTTCAATAATCATCTGCTTTTAACTCTGTTATTATAAAAAAACTAAGCAATCATGGAATATTAACTCACAAAATAAATTAATTAATATCTACACTAAACAGTCTTTTATATTATGTAATACACCCCTCTTCAACATAAATATTTAGAATAATTTTGCACTATATACAAAGACATCTTAGTTCACTAACTAAGTCTTACCATCTATTCTACACTAACATTTACTGTTCCTTTGTCTGTCTCTTCTAGCATAGGGTCTCCAGTAGGGCTTCTCCTTAATGAGATCCTTTGTTTTCACCTTGACCTTGTGTTGCCTGAGATCTGTATTTCCTGATCTATCTGTATACTGGCACAGTAGATCTTGTTCCTATTTCTTCTTCTTACCAGTCAGTTCTTCACTCATGTTGCTATCCTTGTATGTCTCATCTCCACTCAGTGCTTTTAGGCCTACTAGGTCCTCATCTTCCATAATGAAGTAAATGTCTTCAGATTCTGCTTCTATGACAGCCACACTTCCCATGTCCAACTATACCTCAATAGCTGCATCTGTTAGGTCTTCTCCCCTCTCAAAGTACCTCTTCAACAGATTGGTATGGCAGACCATGGTTGTTCCATTGACTTTCACTTTATAATGCATTCTGTTGACCACTTCCTGTACTGTGGAAGGTCTTTTTCACTTCCAGATAAGTTTGTTGTTGTATGTAGGTAGCAGAACCAAAACCTTCTGTCTGTCATTGAAAAGTCAACCCTTGGTCTTGTTACTATGGAAGTTTTTCTGACTGTTTTCTGTAAGTTTTCTCTTTTTGTCTTATGCTTGACTTCCTCTCTGGAACTATCCTGAAGTTTCTGCAGTAAAGTGTCTTTCTTCTGCACTTCTATCAGCTTCCGTGAACCTACATATGAGTTGTCACTCTTTGAGACTTTAAGAGGTTTTATATCTTGTTTACTCCTTTTCCTTTGAGCTCTTCTTATGACTGCAGTCTTCTTTTGTCTTGTTCCTCTAAATTTTTACTGCCTGGTATGTTTCCTATCACCATATCGTATAGTGGTACTTTCATACACGTGGCCTCAAGGTCTCCTACATAATATGGAGTATCCACCTTTATTTTTGCTATGGGAAACTTTCTCACTGTCCAATCAATCAGCACACACAGACCTACCTTGTTTCTCATCTGAACATTGGATACTAGACTGGTTCTCACTGCTGCACTACTGCACCCAGTGTCTCGTAGAACCTTCACTTTCTTGTCCCCGACATAGCCTTCATGTATTGGCATATTATGATTTGTTGGCACCATTTTATTTTTTGCATGGTCCCATCATTTTTGTTGCAATGTTCCATTTTCTGAGTCTTGTCTTTTATTTTGCTTTTCTTGGCCACTTTAGCACACAATAACAAGTGGAAGTGTGGTATTTTCAAGTGAAACTGTTTTCCTAAAAGAAAATTAGTTAGGTTCAGTATATCATTGTTACTCAACCACCGGTACACAAAAACAAACAAAAAACTAAGTGAATATTCATATGTAAATCATAATGTTTTTTTATTGTACTTTCATTTTAGTGGTCTATGGCAGCTTAGGAGGCAACAAGTCATTCCTGATATCAAATCAGTTGAGAAATGCTGCACTATATAATAGAAGGGTCGGCAGGATGTATTACGAAGTGAAACTAAATTTAGCTGAAACTAACTGAATTTGAGCTTATAAATAAATAGTGGACATGATGTGTGACAAACAAAATGAAAACAAAATCTATTAATCAAAGACATAAAACAGTGTTTGTACATGCTTATAAATGCTGAACTGTTGCCTTTTACTAGACTTATAAGTTAAGTAGACTGTCTTTCCTCAGTTTGTATTCTCATTAACCAATTAACTTCGGATCTAGTACACAAACATTCAAATCTTATTTAACAGGAAACATTGGAGTTACCCATGGTAACATAATTTTCTTGACTATGTTATGCAAAAATTGCATAGACTTAGAATGAACACAATTTTTTAAAAAGTATACATTAAAATGAGAAGGAAGAATATGCATGATATTCCTGCATAGCACACAAACAGACATAATTATTTGTTATACTTTCCTTGTAGATCATCACCTTTTCTTGACTAGTTTATACCAAGATTTCTTTCTTAGAACCTACATTATACACAACATCTTAAATTACATGTAGTATCTCTTTTTGACATGATTTCCTTTGACAATATTTGAGACTTTTGATACATTATTGTTTTTAAGTGTTTCAGTACTGTAAGTTATATGTTCTAAAAATAGATAATTGAGCATTTTGTTGTCATTTCACTCTGGAAGAAAACAAAAACAATCTTTTCTTATTTTTTTCATTTATATGGATATTTGGGCATTTTGGTTTTAGGAAACTTGACTGTTTAGTGTAAAACATCAATCACTTACTTGATTTCTTAGCCTTTGGTAAGTTATAGAGTCACTAATGCATACGCTGAAATTAACATTTAGATGTAATATAAGGTATATTATTCAATTGTTGCATTGTTTCCACAGAAATCAGAGAAAAACACCGAAGAGATACTCTCACATTGGCATCCAAATATAACAATAAATATAATAGATGACCATACAGCTTGGGTTCAAGGACACGTTCCACCTCCATTGGATGAATGTAAGATTTATATTATGCAACAAGCAACCTTTTAAAGATCATGTGTAATAAAACATTTTGTAAAGTTAATTGTTCATTATATGTGTTAAAGTTTCTCTAATTTCTTAATCCATTTTCAGAATTGATAGCTGCTATACACTTTTATAAAGCTACTAGTTTTAAAAGCTGTTTACTTTTAATTTATTTTTTATTTAAGATTATAATAGTGTGTGAAGTTGTAAAGGACTTGACTCATCTTGCTCGTATTGTTTGAGATCCAGTATTTAAACATTTGTTTTGAAAGCTTTGAAATTAACTATCTCCCAAAATTAACATATTTACTTATTTCCCAATAATTAATAGTTCCCTGTATATGAATATATGCTCAGAATTTCATTTGAAAGTTATTTATCTTTGCTTAAAGATACATGATTCAGTCAACAACCATGCTTCTACGTAGTAATAATGTGTATGCGTAATGAGAATGTTGAATTTTATAATGCTGTATGAAAAAAAGTGAAATATCAGAAGTTTGCAAGTAAGGAATATTTTTAGCACTAGTACCAAATAGCTTAGATATTAAAATGGGGAAATTAACAATTTTAAAAGTAGATTTTTTGTGTTTTAAATAATGTTTCTAAAACACCAAAATTAAGTCCAATTTATGAACTTGGAATATTGTGAATATCCCTTAACACCTTGTAGGTCAGTTTGACCTACCTTAGAAATGTGAAATTATACATACTGTAATTGAATTTGACTGTATATTTGGAAAACTTGGCAAACTTTTAGCAAACATTGTAAGTCTGCTGTATCCAAAAAAGTAGATTTTCAAATAAAGTATTTCTATTAACTATCTCACTATGGATAAGTTAAAGCACTCTTGTCATGACCTTTCACAGAGTTACATTCAAAATTTAATTACATTACTTTATTAGTAATGTTTATGAATAAACTTGGCATCAAAACATAGTTAATAAAGCAAATTTTAATATTATATAAGTTTTAAGTTATTAATTTTATAAGGAAATATTTTAAAATATCCTCAATCTCTCCTAGTATGAGAATTTACATTTGTTTTCTAGGACTTCTCCTTCTCTAATATACTTACCATCCTTCTCTGAAGTATGAAATTTAATGTAACTTCCTCATTATGATATAGGTATTACCAAGTCAAAATCTAATTTTGAGTCTTAAATCTTCTTTGTTTATAGAGATGTAAATTAGAAAATCAAACCCACTTCCCATATCCACCTATCACATCCTCTCTTACACAAATTGCCATGATATTTTCTCTGGCATTTTATATTATATAATTTATAACCAGTAGAAAGGGAAAGCTTTAATCTATCAAAAGACATATTATGTTTTTTTCAGTGCAGTGTATTATCTATTTCTTTTTCTCTTTGAAAGTATCTCTTGTGGTGTTCAGATCGAGAAGCTTACAGAATTAATTTAAAGTTCTGTTGGGGTATTTAGAAAGGCAGATAAGTTATGATAGCTATAGGACACTGTTGCTTTGCATCTGTTATTATTTTGTGTTGTTAGGGGCACTATTTAAGTAAAAAAAAATTTATTGTACCATCAGTATAAAGAAAATTAGGCTTAACTTTCATCGGTAACTGCCAGCAAAAAACAAGACCGTAAGTACAATATTTCATGTTTTCATGCATATTCTTTATTTATTGTTATAAAGTAACTAAAATGTAAAAATAAGAAACTTAAGATAAGGTTAGATTAGGTAAGGTAATGAACAATAATAATGATAAAAATACTTAAGGTATGCTTGTGAGCAGCTCATGTGTTGCACCATACAATACACTAACATGAGCTACATGCTTGCTGAGTGATTTATAACATATGGCACAATTATTAATTAGACACAGTTCATAGGGTAATAAAATAATAACATTAAATATATATATATATATATATATATATATATATATATATATATATATTATAGTATAGTATAGTATAGTAGTAAGTATACGTAATAGTTA